TTTTTTTAAGCCTCAGTGTTCTGATATTTCATGATGATGTGAATTGATGTGTGTGCGTGTTGGGGGGAGTCTTTTGTCTTCATTCATTCACTGTGCTAGAAATTTGGTGGCCTTTCCAATCTGGACGTTTATGTTTTTCCATTTGGGGAAATTTCCTTTATTATTTTTTTGACAATTTCCTCTCCAAAGTTTTTCTATGTTCTCTTTTAACTAGACTCTTCTGGATTGATTTTCTCATTTTCTGTCCTACTTTCTGGAAGAGTAACTTGACTTGAGCTTTTATATTTTTAATTTCCAAGCTCTCTTGTTTGTTTCATTGATGTTCCTTTTCTTATAACATCTTGTTATTGTTTCATAGATGCACAATCTTATCTTTTGAAAATATTCATTATGCTTTGAAGTTGTTTTGGCTCTACGCATTGTCTCTGTTTCTTCTGGGTTCTTTTTTCTCTCTCCCATTTATTTGTTTTGCTCTCTGTCTTTCACGTTGGAGGCTTTCCTCAAATATCTGGAGATTCTTGGCTATCTGTTTATATTTAAGAGTAAAGTACTAAAAAGCTCAATGGAAGCTTTGTGTGTTGGACTGGAGCTTATAGACTGATGAGCTTCATTGAAGAGTACTTCCTGGCCAGCTGTTGTTTTTTTAAAAAATAACATCTTTATTGAGATATAACTAACATACCATAAAATCTACCCATTTAAAGTATACAGTTTTCAGTATATTCAAAGTTGTGCAATTATCACCACAATCTAAGCTTAGAACATTTTCATCACTCTGAAAAGAAACCTCATGTTCATCAGCAGTCATTCTTTATTCATCACCTCCCCTGCCCTATATCCCCAGCCTCTGGCAACCATTAATCTACTGTCTCTATAGATTTGCCTATTCTGGACATTTCACATAAATGGAATCATACAATATATTGTCTTTTGTGAGTGGCTTCTTTCACTTAGAATAAAATTTTCAAGGTTTACCCATGATGTAGCACGTATCAGTACTTCATTCCTTCTTATGGCTAAATAATATTGCATTTATGGATATATCACGTTTTATATATGCATGCATCAGTTGATGGACATTTGGGTCATTACCACTTTTTGGCTATTATGAATAATGTTGCTATGAACATTTATGTACAAGTTTTTGTGGGGACATATGTTTCACTTCTCTTGGATATACTTAGAAGTGGAATTACCAGCTGGGGTTGTAATGAGGGAATGCAAATGTCGGTATTTGTAGGTCTTTTTATCTGGGTTGGTTCAGTTTCTCAAATTTGCTATGTGATGAATGTAAGACTGCCTGTTGGCCTTCTAGAGCTGGGTGGAGCCGAACCTTCCCAGAGTTCTGGGGGTGGGTGGGTAAATCAACCTCCCTCTTATGCCAGAGACTGCTAGCTATCTTCCTAATGTCCATCCCACCCTCCTTCCTTAATAACAGACTCTTGTATTATTAGGGGCAACAATGTACCCAGGCATGACATTTCCCAGTCTCTCTTGCAGATGAAAGTAGCAATGAGACATAAAGAAAAGTCAACGGATGGGGTTTCTGGGAAATTGCTTTAAAGGGAGATAATTTATCTGGAAGACAGGTGCCCTTTCACAGGTCCCTCTTTTTGGTGCCTGAAACATGGATGCTCTGGCTAGAGCTTCAGTAGCTATGTTGTGTTCATAAAGAGATCCTTGAAGATCCTAAGGATGGCAGAGGAAAAAGCCCACAAAGAGCAATGGCCCCTTAACCAGGGCTTGATGTTGTGGTGATTAAATGAGTTACTTTATGTAAAGTGCTTAGAACAGTGCTGGCACATAGTAAATACCATATACGTGTTTATTATTACTACTCATCCATTACACTGATAAAATGTAAACGGTTGTTTAAAGGATAAAAGTAATCTTAATCTGTTGTCTGTTGGTGGGAATGGAATTAGTACAGCTTTTTTGAAGGACAATTTGATAATGTGCATGCTCTATACCTAGTAGTTCTACTTCAGAAATCTGACCCAATCATATAGGGACAAAAAGGTACATGTTAAAAATGTTCATTACATCTCTATTTTGTGCCAACAAAGGGGAAACAATTTAAATAACCATTAACAGAGAAGCAAAGTATGTATGTTATAAAAAACTGTAGCATACCAAGAAGGCAGCTGATAAAGAGAATGATGTAGACTTACATGTACTGACAAATAAAGTTGTCCAAATTATTTATACTAAAAACCAAGTTACAAAGTAATACGTATAATATGATTTCACTTATATGAAAACAAAACATACCTATGTGTGCATTTATGTACGGATTTTTAAAGAAGTTTGAAAATATACAAAATGTTAATGAGGTTGTTTATACGGGGAGACGGGAAAAGCGAAATCGGACATTAGTTTTTAACTCTGTACTTATGTACTAAAACTTTTTTTTTAAATAACAAAGACACGTGTATTTTACTGTACAATTTAAAAACTGAAAAAAGGGGCTGCTTATTAGGTTTACCTAGAGTTTCCGTAGATTTGAGGTAAGAATAGAAATGTTTTGCTAGTTAGATTTGGATACTATATATCCTGTTGGAAAAAATGGCCTGACTTCAGCATATGACCCAAGAAAACCAGGGATGTTCAGGAAATCTTTGGTCACACCTGTAAGGGTTCCAATTCAAAGAACTTTCAGTTGATTAACCTTTTGTACCTTAGTTCTATTTATCTGTGTCTTCAGATAAGCTGAAGGCAAGAGAGCCTATTTTTTAAAAAAACTGTAACACATTCAAACTCTAGTGAGTACATCCCTAAACAAGAAGAATAAAGTCTTTGAAAAATTTCTGTGCAGGAAACCTGTATAATTCAAATGGACTTGAAAAATAAAACGGGTTGTCTAATCTTTGAGATTTACTAGCACCTTTTTATTACGCTGCATTTGAGACAGAAAGATATTACTATTGATTAAAGCAGAACAGCATGGAAGGCACATACCATGAATTTAGGTCATTGTAAAGGCTAAAAATGCACTAACTATATAATAGCTATATGAGAGACTCTAGGAGAATATAATCTCTTGCTAATTCAACCCAATAATACCTTTAGGCTACGTAAAGAAAAATGGAATAGGAGAGAGCACTTTGTTTGAAATATAAAAAGTGACATTTAGTGTAAGTTTAAAAAATAAAATACACCTATAAAAAATATCTCCTTGTCTCCCAAGTTTACACATGATGCTGCAGAGTTTAAGAAACTGATTATTGAATTGAGAGTGTTTTAGTTGATGCACAACATCCTTGTTCTTAAGAACCAATATTCTGAAAAAATTTGTCATTCCATTTTATTGAGACTTATTTATAAAATGCTGAAAATTTGAATTCTTACAATGATGAATGTTGTAGAATAACAGGAATCTAAGGAAAAGATCTGAGAAGAAAAAAATCAGTTTTTTTATGATTACCTTAAAACAAAAAGGTATAAAAGAGGTAATTAACAACACAATTATAATGCAAACTGGACCGACTTGCAAATTTCACAGAGCAGCTCTAATGTGGTTCAGGGGTAAGAAGAGCTCATAAAGCAGTAGTCTCTCATTAACTCAGTAGTGGGACAAATTACTTCATCTATAAAACAAGGAGAGTAAATCTCTGCCTGGTAAATCTATAATCTGCCATTACAGAGATTATAATCTGTATTTCTGTTTGTTATACAGATAACTTCTTACTGAAAGAAAAAATCCCCCAAGTATAAATCAGAGTATCAAATATGAAAGGCAGACATGAGTTCAAATCCAAGCTCTACCACTTAGTAGCTATGTGACCTTGGGCACGTTTCTCAATCTCTTTTGCCTTAGTTCCTCATCTGTAAAATGAGGATAATAATAGTACCTAGGGTTGTATTACATGACAGACTACATTAAAAATGCTTGGCACATAGTAGGCATTCAATAAATATTGGTGATGGAATGACGTGTCAAGATACAATAAGTATCATTTCCTAAATTTGGAACATTATGAAGACATGAAGCATTAAAAATGTGTCCTAGGGGCCGGCCCGGTGGTGCAAGCAGTTAAGTGCATGCACTCTACTCCGGCGGCCCAGGGTTCGCCGGTTCGGATCTGGGGCGTGCACCGACACACCACTTGGCAAGCCATGCTGTGGCGGCGTCCCATATAAAGTGGAGGAAGATGGGCACGGATGTTAGCCCAGGGCCAGTCTTCCTCAGCAAAAAACAAAACAAAACAAAACAAAAAACAAAAAAAAGAGGAGGATTGGCAGATGTTAGCACAGGGCTGATCTTCCTCACCAAAAATAATAATAATAATAAAATAAAATAAAAATGTGTCCTAGCACACGTTCAACAATTTTAGGTTATCCTTAGCGAGCTATGCATTTGAGATTTACTCAAGCTATTGAAATCCAGGCTTCCTTTTCATACTTGTCTTCTAGATGTATGCAGACCAATAAGACCGATTCCATATGCTGTACACAAAGAACAATGTAGCAGTGAAGAGCATGGATTCTGGAGCCAAATTACCCGCGTTCAGATACCATTTTTGCCATCTACTAAGCTGTATGACCTTGGGCAAGATTACTTAACCTCTCTGTGCCTCAGATTCTTCATCTATAAAGTAAAAATATTTGCCTTACAGGGTTATTATAAAGATTAAGCAAGACAATTTATATAAAGCATCTAGTGCAGTACTCAAAAAATGTTAGCTATCATCATCATCCCTTATAGCCATTCTACAAAAGAAAGATACACCTCTGACCACCAGCACTTGATTCTACAGAAAAAACACAACTAATTCTTAAATTAGTTCTTATGTATTCACACACTCTCCAGTATTATAAGATTCGTGGTTGGGTATTTGAACCAACATTTTATACCTTGCCTCAACATGAACAAGACAAAAAGTAAATTTTGTATTAGATCTTTCCAATTGTCATCAATGCGAAATTAGAGAAGATCAAGATGCCTTATCAAAACCCACTGTAAAACTGCTTTCTCTGTTTTAAGCAAATTAACTTCCTACCTGTCATCTGCATTACGAAGAGATGGAAGCCGAAAGCTCGTGTTTCTGTCAAGCTTTGATTGGCTTTTGGTCCTCTTGATGGAGCCTTTCAGGCGCTTGCTGAAGAATCCCTAGAATGAAAAGGCAGAAGGTGATGGGAGAAAGAACCATAAGGGCACCTTGCTGTCTTCCTTATTCTTCTGTGCTACCTTTGCAAAAGATATTCCAATTTTTATAATGAAGACTAGAAACAGAATTTCAGCTTTTAATTTTTTAACTTGTAAATAATAGTTGCTTGAAACCACCTGGTAATGTGATGAAAAAAATCTTTTTTTCTATGATAATTGGGATAATTAAACTTTTTGATAGTGCTTAATTTCTTATTTCTTAAATAGTTTCTATACTAGCTATGATAGAGAAACTTCTAACTTTAATAACATATTTTTAAAAACACAACAATATAACATAGAAAAATATAATCCTTTCTATGAAGATAGTGTCAGCAATCTCAATAGATATGACATCCAGTAATTTCCTGAACTAAATTAAGGGAAAACAGGAAAAGATAACAGTATGTGCAAAGGCCATGAGGAAAGAAGGTACTTGGTGCATTGGAGGAATTTTAAAGAACATACTGATAGTGAGAGGAGAAGCAGCTTTATTCTAAGATCTGCAAAAAGAAAAAGTTAAGTAATCAGTATAAGGTAATGTGCTGGTGGTCTCAAAAGTGTTAAAATTTGGTCTATGTCACCTTGGATATGGTATTTGTAAAGCTAAGTTTTAAATGTAGCTACACTATTTTTAAATGAAATAGGTATCATTTATGAAACCACTGAAACATCTAGACTTCAGGGGAACACAGTGCTTTACACTTTTTGGCCTCACTTGCCTCCTGCCACTTCCACCAAACTATCTGGAGTTCCTTGAACATATTCATAATCTTAACACCTGGCAAATAATGAGTATTCAATAAAAGCTTGTTGAATAAAAGAATAAATGCAAGAATGAATGCCGATGATCACTGCTTTCAAGAAATAACTCTATTGTTGGCAGATGTAAGGACATCTTATAGAAGTATATCAGAATGTCTTAAGAAAAGGCTGTAATTCAAAGAAAAGTATTTTGACACATGGAAAACGACTCTTTCTAATCACCTTGAGATGAGTTATCTTATAGAAGCTGTGTACAATAAATATTTCCATAAAAAAGAAAAGAAATACTGAGCTAATATCAGCACATCAAATCTTACATTCTTTTAGTTACCACCCCAAAGCCCACTGTATTGGGGTGAAGACTATATTATTCAGGATAAGCTAGGTCATGCTTATCTAATAACCCCACAATCTTAGTAGCATAAAACATGCTACATGTCTATGAGCAGGTCAACTAAGGGAGATAGGGGCCCGGCTCTATGCTGTCCTCACTCAGGGACTTAGGTTAAGAGAGGCTCCATCTCTGTGCTTCTAGAGTTGCTGCAGCAGGATAAACGAAATGTGACAAATTATGTACTAGTTCTTAAAGCTTCATGTCACTTCTGGTCTCATTTCATTGGACAAAAAAAAATCACATGATCACACCTAACTTCAATGGGGAAAGGATGTATCATGTGTCCAGAAAGAGAACTGGAAATATTTGATGAACAGTAGTGTGGACTACCACAGTGCTTTTCCACACCAAGTGTTTTGTGAACACACAGCCATTGCTCCTCCCATTAGAGAAAAATGGAAACAAACTTATTTGAATCAGAAGTAGAACTATTTAGCTGACTGAAGAAAAATGCTTATATTATTTCTTGTAGCCCAAAGAATAAGGATAAAAACTCCTAGAAAATATCACATAGACATAATTCCCCAGGCTGTTTTTTATTAAAGGTATATAGAGATTGATGGGAGGGAAGAAAACAAGGCTATTTTTAAAAGTACTATATTTCTTAGAGACAGGCATTTGCCTGGTCTCCTGCACAATCTTAATGATGTTAGGGAAAGTCACTATCATTTGTTCTCCAAGACAAAGGATTTATTTACTACTTTACTTTCTATGATTCAATCAAGATGAGTCACCACATCTGCTCATAAATGTAGTCAGCAAGCCAGACGTAAGTTTATAGAATTCTATTAGAATCATTTATGGTTGGTGTAAAAACCACTGGCCTAAGTTGAGATCCAGCCAAGGACCTGACCAAATACCATATATACATACATTTCTAACAAAAATACAGTTAAGCTGTAACTAAGAATGTACTAATAGATGTTCACTCATATTAACTTTACCTTTCTGTGGCACTTATTATATCATAATTCATATTTTAATCCATGTATTTTAATAAATACTTATTTTATGTCCATTTGTTATAAAGCATTGTTTCAGGTGTTGTAAGGGAATCAAAGATAACACAAACTCTGCCCTCAAGGAGCTTGTAATTTAATATAGGATTTGGAAACTACATATAAATACATATGACACAATTCAGAAAGTACATGTTCCTAATGACTGGCATATTTAATCACAAAATAAAAGTTAACTGTCATATTTCTTTCAATCCAGGACACCACTGATTCTAAGTCACGCCACTATTTTATGTATACTAAGAAAAAAGCTGCTAATTACACTATAACACAATGCTTTATCACTTAGAATTTTTATTTTGTATTAAAGAAGTTTTTAAAGAAACATATTTAGGCAGGTTTTGTCATATATCACATAGTGTATACATAAAAAGTATATACGCAAAATAAATTGGTTAAGGTATTCCTAATGCTTCTTCATTCTTCTGAACTACTTTTTGAGCAACTATTTGTTGATGACAAACAGCATATCTTACAAGTGTAATCTACAGAAATGTTAAAAATGTGAAAAATAAGCATCTTAGAATTGATGAAATATGGTATTATTTTAGAAGGCTACATAGGAAATGATTTCAGGAATTCAGAGAAAAAAGAGATTACATCATCTGGAGAAATAAGGAGAAATACTATGGAAGAGGCAGAAGATGCTAGGTCCCAAAGAGTAGACAGGATTCAGGTTTAGGGGTGTTGAGGAGCAAGGGTATTGTATGGAGCAATGCATGAGAGATGGCATGGAGGCAAGAACACAGAGGGTATACATTAAGAAGATTTAGTCTGGCTGGCATATGATTGGAGTAGTGAAAATAAGGCTGGAAAGGTAGTTTGTCCAGCTATTAATGTATAATTATTGATCCCACTGGCTTTTAAACTTTCGAGGGAAGATATAATGCTCTATCTATCTTAGCATCTACCACAGTGTCTAAACCTTAGTAAGTGCTCAATAAATATCTGATAAATATATACATGAAATTATAGTTGTTTTAGGAATATAGATAAGGGAACATTTAAGATTGCCCAGAGTGGTCAGTGATATTTCCCAGTGATGGTAGCATCTACTACAAAATTCTATTTTAATGTCCTTGATATAACTGAAACATAGTTCTCACCTGAAACATTGTTTAGCTTAGAGCCCTATTTGGTAGAGATTTTTCATTCTCCCCTACCCAATATTCAACGATACCCAGGAAGAGGTGCTAGGATTTTCCTAGCTTACCATGACTGCTTCCATTATCACTGTTTCATAAAATAAGAGTCTGGAGTAAAGCATACTCTTTGAGGTTCACACCATCTTGATTTAACATCCTGTATCGCTCTTCACTGTTCTCATGCATTAATCTCTCTTTCACTTTCCTTTATTCATTAAGGACTTTAGCCCCTAGCTTGTAATATTTCTCTGTCTCTTAACTTCTAACACCATGCTAGTAAATAACCAGGTAACGATCCATCTAATATCCTAGCTTCACAGTTCCTTGACTCTAATAACCCTTATCCTCCTCTCCAGCTACCCACTCCTAGAGCCACAGCCTAGATCTTATCATCATTCAGAGATCCTCCACCTCGGATGTCTTAAACAGTAATATTCTTCTTTCTGACTTTTCTTCCTGATCATATATCTCTTTCTTCCAATACATCTGGCTCTTCAACCTCAGAGAAACCTCCAGTTTCTTGCCCACCCCATTTTCTCCCTGTTCCTGTTTTCTTCTCTATCCAACCTGGACTCCATGGCCAATCATCTGACGCTGAAATTCAGTCACCGACAACCTCCATTCTCTTAATCATCAGCTATTAAAAATTGAAACTGGATCAATATTTAAATTCTGGTCCCATGACCAGGCTGTTCAGGAAGACCACATAGCTGAATATACTGATGCCACTAAATATTCACTATCTCCAAGCTTGGCTTGGCTTCTACTATGTCTTTGCCCTGGACCAATCAAGCACTGAGCCTTCCAGCAACACTACCCCCTCTGGGAAACCTTAGAGTGTATGGCATGCCCACAGCCCCCTTCTGAGCATTGTATGTATTTCTTACATACAAGTAACTATGCTTTGTACTATGCAGTTCTTCTGCCGTGGCTGTAGATGACTAGACAAGGGGTGGATAATTGACCTAAGGTACCTAAAAGAGTGGTCCTGGTAAGAGTTCTGCCTGTAGGATACGGTATCATCTGGTAGCTACTAACCACTCCAGCCTGATCTCTGGCCATTCTCTGCTTCATGCTTTATACTCCAGCAACTCTAAAAGCTTACAATTCTCTACATTCACCATGCATCTCTGCTACTGCTCATACTCCCTCCCTTTATCCTGGCCAAGTCATCCTTTCAGACCCAGCTCAGGCACGATCTCTTCTAGGGTGTCTCTCTCTCTCTCTTTTTTTTTTTTAGTGAGGAAGACTAGCCCTGAGCTAACGTCTGTTGCCAATCCTCCTCTTTTGGCTGAGGAAGATTGGCCCTGGGCTAACATCCATGCCCATCTTCCTCTGCTTTATACGGGAGGCCGCAACAGCATGGCCTGACAAGCGGTGCGTCAGTCCGCTCCTGGGATCCGAACCTGCGAACCACAGGCTGCTGAAGCGGAGCGTGCCAACTTAAGCATTACGCCAGCAGGCCAGCCCCTAGAGTGTCTTTTTTGACATGTCCTGACCCTGCTCTAGACTAGGTGCCCCTCCTCTGTGCTTCTAAGTGTCTATAAATACAGCTGGCCTTACATTTAGCACACTGCATGCCCACTTATGTGTCAGCAGTCTTCCCTACTAAACTCTGAACTCCTCAGGACAGGGATTAAA